CAGTCAGGGTCGCGCACAGCCGTTGAGACACGATCGCGCTGCGAAGCTCCACCCCGTCGACCAATTCATTCCAATGATGAACTTGGCGAACCGCGTTTGGCTCGCACTTCCAGCGCCAGAACTCGCATGGGGGACGCCCACATCGGGGTGGGCCTCAGACCGAACCGCCCCTCCGGCGATCTGCATAGCCGACGCAGGGTGCGATTCGAAAGCGAAGCTCGAAGCAAGGCTCTGATCCACAGAAGAACCCAAACAATGGCCCCAACCTCAGGACAGGCGCCGCTAAACTTCAGAGCGCCGAGAGGAAGCCCAAAGGATGTCAACGACTTCCCCTTTTGAACACCCATGAGGGAGAGGGCGCCTGCCGAGTCCTTGGCGACGTCGGCCATGGCCCAGGCCGCCGCGCTAAGTTGCTTTACGTCGAAAGACCCTTCGACGAAAACTGCGACGCGGCCGCGCACGCGCAGACGAACGGGGCGCGCGCCAAGGCCAAGCTCGGCACGGGGGCGAAGGCCTGTCTGGTCGACCTCTGCGCGCAGGGTGACGTGGCCGCCATCCCTCTGCAGGCGCGCGACCAAGCATCCTTCCCCTTCCAAGCTCGCAAAGGGCATGGTATTTGGGATCGCCGCCCACGGATTGGCACGACGGTCGGAATCCGGGAATCGAGGTCGAGCACACCAGGGCCTCGATTGTCGCTCGCACATCCCTTCGAATCAGGAATCGGCCAGCCGCGACCCCATCAGATGGAGGGGGGGGCGGGGAAGGGAGAAGGGCTCGACGAAATCAATTGGCACGGCCACACAAAAAGCGGCTCGTGGTCTCGGCCTGCCACGGGGTCGCGCACTGACCAGGGCTGGCGGCGGGGACTCGCTAGAATCTATACACGCATATGGTTGCGCCTGTCTCCCCACATCCGGCGCAGATTCACATGCTGGGCTCGTTCTTGGCACTCCGAGCGCCCTCGTCGCTGGGCGCCGCCATGTCGACCGCCGGGCCGCGGTTGGCTTCCCTTGTCTGGCCCATCAGTTATTGCGTCAGCTTGGGACGCCGGGTGTCGCGCGAAAACATGGCGCGATCGCCGATGTCATGCCCAGCTTTGTCATTGATGTGTTTTTTTTTCGAGAGGTTGGAGTCCAAGGTTGACAATGCGGTCTCGCACTGGGGCCCTTAAGTTTTCAGCCTCCCCCTGTGCTCTGACCGCTCTCGATCTGGCAGCTCTCTCCTGAAGCACGCGCCCTTGGGCGCGGCGCCGTGCTCATCTCCGACGGCGACTTGGCCATGGGCTCGAATGGCTGTCGGCGCCAGGATCAGATCTGGAGATGACGCCGCAATCGTCGCGGGAAATGGCGACGCCGGCGGCGCCAGCGATTTGGACGAGAAGATCCTATTCACACAATGCGTCATTGATGCGTTCCGGGGATTCCGGGATTTACAACCGCCTTCGCGCGGGACACACTTTGCATCGAATATCATCTACCCTGCCTGGCGCCGCTGGTCGGTCACCCATTCGCCACCCAATAATCGCCCGCAGGGGGCTATTTGGCCTTTGCTGACCCTCTTCTCGTTGCTGAGCGCGGGGGGGGGGGGGGGAGAGGGAAGGGGGGGGGGGGGCGGGGAGCGCCGCCGCGTCGCCCGCCGCCGAGCACTGCGCGCCTCGGCGGACATCCAAAGAGCTGGCAAGGCGAAGCACGCGCGACTCTGGAAAATTCTCCAACGGTGGATTTGATACAAAAAAAAACACCCAGAACGTCTATGACAATGCCCGGCCTACGTCTGGAATCCAACAAGATTCTGAAAGATTCCGGAATCGATTTGGAAAAATTCGGGGACATATTTTGAAAATTTCCGGATTTCAAAATTCCTCAGACGTCCTGCGCGGCAAGCCCATTCCACCCCTCAAAACTGTTTCTTGACAATTTCTGGGCCCCTTTTTGAAAAACTCCGGAACCGCTTCTGCAGCGAAAACGGCCGCGCCCTTTTGAAATACCTTAGAATCCGGGAATAAATGCCAGGCGGCCTGACGGGCGCAATCGGCTGATTCGTGCACCGCGCCGCGAGCGATTGGGCGCGGCGCGCGCCGCGCCCTGCACCCGCGAACGGCACTCGAAAGGGTATGCCTCGAAAATCGCGCCACGGCAGCTGCGACTCGCAGACGCCCCAAAAGCAAGACAGAATGCAGCTCGGAATGTCCGAGGGCGCTCCAATGCGCGCGACCATGCGCAGCGCGCGTCCAGCAAAGAACCTGCGCGACGGAAAGCGCTCGACCATTCGTCCATG